TAACTATAACTACAGCCTTGGAGGGCTTTGGCCTTGTCAAATGTGGGAAAGGATGTCTTTATCACAGGCAGGCTTTGTGGGCAGATGGACTTCCGAGGGAGATTGGATCAGGGAAGGGAGGTAGATAAGTAGAGGAAGGCGGGTGATGAAGGGCAAGGGTGAGAGAACTACTATGGAATCAAGATTAGGGTGATTTTTTTTTTTTAAAGCCATTTTCAAAATGTGGTGATTTGACTGTTTAGTTTTGGTGGTTATTTATAACCCCAGCTGCAGAGGCGGGGAGCTATGCCTGAGCCTGCTGGGATCTGTCCAATACCTTCCCCCAGGGTGGGGTTGGGGAGGGGTGGTGGCTAAGGGGGATACAAGAACCAAATTCCCAAGTGGCCAAGAAGGTAAGAGAAGTTCCAGGCCACCTCCAAGAAGAGTAAGAAAGACATGACCATTCGTGGCTGCGCTGACTCCATTTTTAAGGCAGCTGTACACAAAAATATTTTAATATGAATTAGGGTCACATCAGCAGCCTCTGAGCTTCTCCCAAAGGGATAGAGACTAAGCCAACACCTCTACTTAGAAGTTACGAGACTGGCCTGGCTACCCTAGCCGCTAAAATGGCCAAGGCATGCGTCTCCACCTTGCAGGTCAGCTTTCTGCACGCAGAGGAAACTGCTGTTTCTAACCCTTCCTAGACCCATCACTGGTCAAAAAGCAGGTTTAAGAGGAGAGAGGGTGGCTGGTTCCTGACTGAGCCAACACTTGGCAGTGGTCACTGCATTTACTGGGCCCTTTAAGATGTCAGGCAGCAAGGGAGAAGCTGGAGATGGTGTAGCCAGCCAGGCAAGGCTCCCAACCTCCAGGAGCTCCCAGGCCTTGGAAGGTGACAACCACCAACCACACTTTGCATCTGAAATATGGTACCTATCATTTTACTGACAAGGGAGCATTTTAAAGGAAGTTGAGGGATTTTTTTTTTTTTAACATTTTATTTTACTTTTTGAGAGACAGAGAGAGACAGAGCACAAGCAGGGGAGGGACAGAGAGAGAGAGAGAGAGAGAGAGGGAGGCACAGAATCCCAAGCAGGCTCCAGGCTCCGAGCTGTCAGTACAGAGCCCGATGGGGGGCTCGAACCCACGAATGCGAGATCTTGACCTGAGCCGAAGTCAGATGCTCAACCGACTGAGCCACCCAGGTGCCCCAAGGAAGTTGAGGAATCTTTTAAAGAGCTTACACATGTGACTGAGACAAGATACAGACACAAGAAAGAAAATGCACAAGAACATACACAAAAGACTACCCCCACTTCTGACCTTGCTCTGTTCCTCTTCAACTCAGGGTAAGTTATCATAGAGTCTGATGTTTAACCAACTGAGCCACCCAGGAACCCCAACACAGATGTGAGAGACACAGAATCTTTTTTTTTTTTTAGTTTTTTTTATGTTTATTTAGGTTTTTAAAAAATGTTTTTTAATGTTTATTTATTATTGAGAGGCAGAGATACACAGAGCATGAGCAGGGGAGGGGCAGAGAGAGGGGAGACACAGAATCTAAAGTAGGCTCCAGGCTCTGAGCTGTCAGCACAGAGCCCGATGCAGGGCTCAAACTCACGAACTGTGAGATCGTGACCTGAGCTGAAGTCGGTCGCCCAACCAACTGAGCCACCCAGACGCCCCTACATTTATTTAGTCTTTGAGAGACAGAGCATCAGCAGGGGAGGGGCAGAGAGAGAGAGAGAGAGAGAGAGAGAGAGAGAGTCACAGATTCCGAAGCAGGCTCTGGGCTCTGAGCTGTCAGCACAGAGCCCGACGCGGGGCTCGAACTCAAACCACAAGATCATGACCTGGGCCGAAGTCGGACGCTCAACTGACTGAGCCACCGAGGTGCCCCCCGCCCCCCACTCTGTGCTCCTTGAGCTGAAGTGAGGTTGAACAGACATAAGCAATCATTAGACCATGTGCACATTCACAAACATTAGGATGCTAGCCATGGCTAGGTTGACTGGAAATTATAAATATCAGTAACAACGGCCATTTATTGAGCACTTACTCTGGTCAGGAACTTTGCTAAGCGCTTTACCACAATCACCTCTTTTGAGCCTGACAACAGCCTTGTGGGGGCGGCTATTGGCATCTCCATTTCACAGATAAGAAAACCGAGGCACAAATTCGAAAACTTGTCCGAGAGCACCGCAGAGAGAAAGTGGCAGGGCTGAAATTCAAAGCCAGATCTGACATCAGAGCCCTGTACCGGACACTAGGAGAGCTGATGAACGAAATAAATAGGAGTTATGTTCCTATTATCTGTTTGGAAAGGAGAAAGGGGAACAGGACACCTACCAAGTTGTATAAGGAAAAGTGTAAATATAGCAGTAAGTGCAAAATACCATATCACGGTGCCTTACTACCTTAGAATGAATAAATCAGGAAAGACTTTCTGAAGAAAGTAAATTTTTTAATGTTTGTTTTTGAGAGAGAGAGACACACACACACAGAGCATGAGCGGGGGAGGGACAGAGAGGGGGAGACACAGAATCCGAAGCAGGCTCCAGGCTCTGAGCTGTCAGCACGGAGCCCGACACGGGGCTCGAACTCACAAACTGTGAGATCATGAGCTGAGCTGAAGCCGGACGCTTAACCTACTGAGCCACCCGGGCACCCCGGAAGAAATACGTTTTAAAGAAAGTTGGGAGAGGCATCCAGGCAGGAGGAAAAGCCTGTGTAAAGGCAGGAAAACCAGTGGGGCTACCTACGTTAAGTCTGGTGGATGAAGATGGGCAGGGGGCAACTTAGTCAAGAGACTCTGAAACGCAACATCAGTCCCTGCTTCAAAAGCCAATTGTGCCACGATGAAAAATGACCCTCAAAGTAAAGATTATATTTAATTCAGAAAAAGAAAGGAAGAAAAAGAAGCTTTTGGGGTTCTCTCTTCCCCATTCTAAATACGCCTACCCATTCCGCTTTATTTTTATTTTATTTTATTTTTTTAAATTTTTTTTTAAACGTTTATTTATTTTTGAGACAGAGACAGAGCATGAACAGGGGAGGGTCAGAGAGAGGGAGACACAGAATCTGAAAAAAGGCTCCAGGCTCTGAGCTGTCAGCACAGAGCCCGACACGGGGCTCGAACTCACAGACCGTTAGATCATGACCTGAGCCGAAGTCGGACGCTTAACCGACTGAGCCACCCAGGCGCCCCCCATTCCGCTTTAAGTATACATTTTCCTTAGGACCATCTTTCTATCCTATTGATGCTAGTTTTTTTCATCTTTTTTTCCAGAGTGCACATTTTCCAAGGAGAAGAACCATGTCTAAATGAAACTGTACATTCTTCCGTGTCAGCCGCAGTGTTGGAGAATCCAGTGTAAGAGATTAACGTTGAACATTCGTAATGCTGGTGTTCGTATGACGAGTGGTTACGTCAGGATAAGATCTTCTAAAGTCCTAATTTCCAGGGAGGGATATTTCACCATCTTTGAGGGCTATCCATTCAGAGACTGTGAAAGGGTAAACATGATTTGATCGACTAGCAAGCATTTCCTGTGCATAGAGGACCATTTGGGCACTATTAAGGATGACACACAAAACTGAGATGTGCTTTTAGCATTAAGAGCTCCAACAAGTTCTTATGTCCAATTCAACCTAAAGCAGGTTATTCAGAGGTGTTTATACTAAACCCTAGAAGCTAGATACTAAATACTGAAAGCTGCCTGTATTACCACCGGCCCAGAATGCACCCCCCCCCCCCCCCCCCCCCCCCCCCCCCCCGGTCTCTCTTCGCCAACCTTTGGTCCTCTCAAAGCATTTCCTCCAGAGAGATTACATCCTCAAAGCCTGCTCTCCATTTGCCAGCCTTTTACAATTGCTCTTCTCCTAGCCTTACATCCTTGACCAACTCTTCCTTCCTCTCAAGATAGGCCTTATTATTATTATTATTATTATTATTATTATTTAAATATCCATGCCTTTTTTTTGCTAAGCTCCAGCTTTACTAAAAATATTCCTTCCTCTCTTCTTCCCTCCCCCAACTCCTGGCTCAAGCATCTAGATTTCCAGAGTTAACTTGGGCTAAGTGGGGATCACTGCTTCTCCGACTCTCGCTACCGCGTCAGCACCCGCCCCCACCCCCGCGAGCCACCCAGGGCTCTCAAACCCACACAGAATGGGGGAAGGAGATGGGCGCTCACCACAGAGCGAATGTGGGAATTCTCTGGAGCTACAGCCTCTGGAGAATGGTTCTGCCTCTTTCCGCGACCTGAACGACTAACTAACTTACTTGCTGTTCGCTACGGGCAAGGACAATGTCTCCTCTACCAGACAACAAACTTCCTGATGATGGACGCTACCCTTCAGTTCCTTTTACAAGCCCCCATTCCCATCACTTTGAGACACAGGATGACTTTTAAGATGCAATTTCTGGGGCAAAATATCCCTTCCCAACGTTGAGTTTGGAGGATAAACAGAAACGTCCTTTGGTCAACCAGGCAACCAAGGGGTTAAACCTCAGCCACCTGATGGATTCTGGGGGTTTCCTTCCTCTACTTCAGAAATTAAAACGAACGGGAAGGGAAATTTTGCCCAAGGTAAAGATGAGAACCGTTAACTTCAATTGTCGGGCTTCAGCCCCAAACAAGAATGGCTGCCCACGTCCACAAAAGGTGCCAATCCCCTGACTAAACATGGCTGGCCTGGGTTTCTACCACCGCGCTACTTTCTGCCCAATTCTAAAATGGCGCTCACTAGCCTCACCAGAAGGAGCGACCCTCCCAGCACCCTCTCTGGCCCGTAACGTCAGGTGACGCGAGCCCCAGCCGGAAGTGAAGGAAAAAGCGCCTCAGCCCGCGGCGCCTGCGCAGAAGGGTCTAGACGCTGTGAAGCAGGAGGCACTTGGGATCGTCCGCAGGATTGGGACTGCTACAGAGGCCGCCACGGAGCCCGCCGGAGCCACCGTTCCTGCTGCTGCTGCCGCCGCTGCCCGAATCGGAACTGTCGGGCCGCAGCCGCCGGCAATGCCGCGAAGGAAGGTGAGAGGAACAGGACAGAGGGATGGCGGGTGTCTAAGGACAGTCGACTGAGCAACGTGACGCAGTTGGCCACGCCTCACGGTGGTTGGGTGCCAACTTCCCGCTTCCCCCAATGTAGCTCAGCAACCCTCTCTTCTGTCCATACCCGACAGAAAAATGTGGGCCCGATCCTGGCCTCGGCCTATGCTTGCAACTATTCCCGCCCTCTGCTTGCCTGGCTCGGAGGCGTTCTTCTCGGTAATTGGTCGCTGAAACGCCTGGAAGCATATTGATTGGCTGGTGACACCGCCCATTTGGGTCCAACGGTCACCTCCCCGCGTGCGGGGGCGGTGTCGGGGCCTGGCCCTACAGCTCTCCGACTGGCTGTAGAGAACGATCCCTCCTCTCTTGATTGGCTAGACTTGGCAGTCTGTCCCGTGGGGGCGCGGCGTAGCAGTAGCGCGATTGGGGGGCACGAATCCCCGCCCTTCCGGCCGGGGATGCTGATAGGTGCATGGGCGGGGTTTTGGAGCATCCTTCCTCTCCAGGCGGGGGGCACAACAAAGCAGAAGACTGGGTGGTAGAGAACCAGCGCCCACTCCCTAGGGATCCTGCTCAGGCCCTTTTGCATCTAAGACGTATTTTTTTCCTTAGCTGCTCATTTGAACAGCGGCCAGAAAATGCAGTTCGTAAAGTCAAAAACTTTCCACAATTAGATAGGATTTATAAGGTCACCTAGGGACACCCCCATCCCTTTTCTTTGCAGCTGAACAAACAGACGCCTAATGGAGTGCCCTAAGCCACTCCCATTAGGCAATAGCAGAGCCTGGACTACAGAACAAATCTAATTCAACAAATGTTTATCGACTGCTTGCTACTGTGCTAGTTGCTGGGGATTCACAAATTAATCAGACATGATCCCTGGCTTAAGGAGATCACAGTCTGATGGGGAAAACGGACATATAAATAAGTGTAGAAGGAGCTAGTAAATTCTCTACGTGGAGGTATATACAAAGTATTATGGGAGGGAAGTAAGAGAGCGATTAAGTCTGCTCTGGAGTAAGATGGGAAGGAGGTTGGTGAAAGCCAGAGAGAAGAGCTGAATTCCAGGGTCAAACCAGGAAGGGATGGTCAGGGATTCAAATAACTGGATAACTGGACTAGATGACCTGTAGACTCCCCCTTCATCTTATGACTCTGAAGTCTGCTCATTTCTGGGCAGTTTACCCTTGAAATATTTGGAAAGCTGCATGGTGTTCTTGCTTATTTCTGCAGAAACCTTTTTTTCACAGAGGTTTTCAAATAAAACATCTGAACCTTTTATTTTCTCCTAAAATGGCCTACATTGGTAGGTGGTATTTATTTATATGAAGGCTAACCAAATGCAGGAATAGTGTTGGTGCCTTGGAATAGGTCCACAGTCCCTTTTCTGCAGTTCCCAAATACAAAGAGCTTTTGAAAATGTAAGTGTTTTTAGTAACTTATTTGGTGGCAAAACCTGTCCTAAACTATCCTGAGGCTACTTATAGGTTTTGTGTGTCTGATTTGGGGCGATTGTTTCTATATTCTGCTGTAGAAATATTAGTGTGTTTGATTATGGAGTGTTACTTGAGGGATATATGTAAAGTATTCCCTTTCCAAAAAGCCAAAAAGTTAGGAATTTCAAGCACAACTGGCCCTAAGGGTTTTGGATAAAAAATAGAGGACTTGTGGTTTGAGGCTTTGTATTGTTTTCTAAGCAAATGCTCTTTCCTTCCTGGCTTAGTAAAGGGTGTAGCGGTAATGTTCAACCGATAAAAGTTACCTTTATGGCTAATCATCTTCAGGAGGCTAAAAATTGACAAACGATTATTGAAAAGATGATAAAATCTCTGTTCTTAGATATTTACAAGTCTTCACATGCAAGCCGCTTTTTTTTTTTTTTTTTTTTTTTTTTTTAAAGCACTTTCAGCATTCACGTGGAGAAACTTCGTAGATAGATAACATAAGAAGAACTTTAGTCTTTTCCTTTAAGTTCTCTTGGGATCGGAATTGTGGACCCTGGTATTTTGAATTAGTATATGGTTTAAAAAAAAATGTGATGGCTGTTTGTGGAGACTTTGAACAAAAGCTACTCCAAAGTTAAAAGGGGTCTAGCGCTGACATTTTTCTCCCCACCATGGACTCGAAGTACGTAGTTATGTCAGCCAGACCATTTCGAATTAGGTACTTTTATTTCCAGTTTGTGGTACTGACCTCTAAATGTACTTGTTTCAGAATTAGTGACAATAAAGTAAGAATTAATTCTCTTTTTTATTTAACCAAGGTGCATTACTTGCAGGTTGTTCCATTTAATGCCTTAAATAAAGGGAATTTGGCGGTGGAATCCTTTCTTAGTGTTTTCAGTATCATAATTCATTTTATTTCCAGTGTTAAGACAAACCCACAGAGTAAATGCTTCTGTGCTAATGTCTGGATCTATGGTGTTACAGAGGAATGCAGGCAGTAGTTCAGATGGAACCGAAGATTCCGATTTTTCTACAGATCTCGAGCACACAGACAGTTCAGAGAGTGACGGCACGTCCCGGCGATCTGCCCGAGTCACCCGCTCCTCAGCCCGGCTGAGCCAGAGTTCCCAAGGTATAAGAATTCATTCTTCCTGACCGTGCCTCATAGCCACCTCGCTGGTCATCATATTCTTGTGTGAATGTGGAAACTGGTCCTTTGGCTTGGTGTAGATGACAAAATCTGGTAAAATGCAGGGTCAATGCCTGCAGAAGTATCAGGTTCTTAAAAATGGTTCTGTTGGGGGTTGTCCAGTTTGTAGACCCAAAAGAACTATATCTGATACAATGACTGTGTGGCACGTGTATGTCTTAAGTCATTTAACTTTTGTTTAGAATAATAGTTTTTCCATGAGTAAAATGGGAAGACTATATTTTTACTTTCTGTTAGGATGGCTTAGACTTAGGCATTTAAAATAGTCTCTTGAACTTGTTTTTGGAGGAGGTTCAATACTTCTAAATACTTCCATAACTTATATGTAATTCTGTAATGTGGTCAGACATGATTCATAGACATAAGTAGTTGCATCCAACTACTTTACAGTTGTAAATACCCAGCAGTTGGCTTTGGTAGTAAAGAATAGAGGACCTCCGTGTTGGAAGGCAGTTTGAAGGTTCTCTAGTGCGATTAGCCATCTGGGCTTTGATTTAGAAGGTACCCCTCATCCCTCCTGGTTCTGCTCTGGGATTCATTCCCTGGGGAGGAAAGAAAGTTGCAGTTAATACAAAAAGCTAATGATCAGTAGCTGATGAGAGATTAAGGGGGAAAATTTTGTAATATGCTTCAAGCACTTAAATAGTGCAGGTCTAGTTATTGCTTTAGGAGCACGTTACAAAATGAGAGAAAAACATCAGTTTTTCAAGGGAGAAAATGAGAACATTCTCAACAACTGTTCCTAACTTTATTTTTGTATTTAACATTTCAGCCAAAGTATAGCTGTTGTCTTTTTGTAAGTTTGTAAGTTTTGTAAGATTCTCAATTTGTAAGTTTTTATTTTTTTAGCATACTGGGAATACTGATAAAAAAAACTACTGTAATTCAGATACTATGCTATGTATTAGAATGCCATGATAGAAAAATCATAGTTCCTGCCCGTAAGGAGCTCACAGTTCAGTGCGAAATATAGTATGTCAGCTGATCGTAGTAATGCATTGTGGTTAAGAGCTCTGAGATGTTTGTATAGCATATTATGGAAGTTCAGAGCTGGGTCCGGTCTCCAAGATGGAAATCTTAAAGGATCTGCTAGGAATTTACAAACTGAAAGGTGGGAAAACATCATTCTAGGTAGAGAGAACAGTATATGCAAAGGAAAGGGAGTAATATTCTCACAAAGCGTAATTGGCTGTGCCCTGGCCACCTGAAAGTTGAAAATATTCCAAACAGCTAGGAAATAACTGGGTCCTGGGTCACTTCTTAGTTGTTCTACTTCATAACTATGGAGTTGGACAACGCCTAGAGGCATCATTCACAATGTAGTCTGTGTAAGGTGGCTCTCTCTAAAGCAAGATATAGACCCTATTATGAATTGGCTGAGTCCCCTGGAGGCGTGTAAACTGATAACCTAGCTGTGTGCTTTTTTTTTTTTTAACCCAAAAGTTTGAGAATTTCAATTTTCTTCTTTGCAGAATAAGATGTACATATCATCTTAGGATCTTTTGTTGTTTAATTTTTTTTTTTTCAACGTTTATTTATTTTGGGGACAGAGAGAGACAGAGCATGAACGGGGGAGGGGCAGAGAGAGAGGGAGACACAGAATCGGAAACAGGCTCCAGGCTCTGAGCCATCAGCCCAGAGCCTGATGCGGGGCTCGAACTCACGGACCGCGAGATCGTGACCTGGCTGAATTCGGACGCTTAACCGACTGCGCCACCCAGGCGCCCCTCTTTTGTTGTTTAAAACACACTTTAGTTTCAGCTTTGAATCTTTTTCTAATTCTTTTTTCAGTGTCATCAAATTAGAGATGTGAAAAGGCTGCTGGGTGATTCAGAATAGTTTTGTTATCCAAAAGAATTTCAAAAGCTGTGTTCTTGCCTTACCCTTCATGAATCCATTATGACTTTGCTTCAGAGTATCAGACAGGGTAATCAGGAAGAACACAAGAGATGTCTGAAGAAAGGAAATACGTGTATTGTTCTACCTTTAGAAGTAGAGTTCCTGTTTGATGGTGGGTTGGAATAAGGAAAGAAAGAGACGTTGCAGCTAATACTTAGAAAGATATACATCTAGGTACCAGGGATTACGTTAAACGTTTTTATGAATTATCTTTCTTACTTCTCACAACAGAGGTGAGGAATGTACAAATAATTTATTTATTTATTTATTTATTTTTTTTAATAGTTCAGGGAAACAGGCCTGGAGAGATGAACTTGCCCAAGATGTTATAGCTAGTTGGTACGGTGCAGGGGAATTGAATGGGAGTCAGTTTTGATTCCAGAACCTAAAACTATTAATTCTGTACTATATTGGATTTCTATGCCTGATCTAGTCTCTTTAGCTTCCATTTTATTTAATAAAATAGACATTTTAATGATTTGTTGGATTTTGTGAAATACGAAGAGGAGGGCACAGGTGGTAATAAGTCATATGGATGAGAAATAAAACAAATTTCCTTCTTTTCTCTTTAATTATTTTATTATCTTTTAAAATTGGGGATCAGATTCCAGCCCGGTTCGAAATTTGCAATCTTTTGGCACTGAGGAGCCTGCTTATTCTACCAGAAGAGTGACCCGTAGTCAGCAGCAGCCTACCCCAGTGACTCCAAAAAAGTACCCCCTTCGGCAGACTCGTTCGTCTGGCTCAGAAACTGAGCAGGTGGTTGACTTTTCAGATAGAGGTGAGTGAGTATAGTATGAATTGGTCAGTTACAGAGAAGATCTGGTCAGTTTCCTCTTAAGGAAGGCTTGGGGCCACTGCAGGTAGATGCCTGGTACTGACGAAATTCAGCTAGGTAAATGCTGTTTGCCGGATTCCTTTCTTGAATGTCTTGCTGAGGACAGTTTTGCTCTAGAGTACTCTTGAAGTTTACAGTCTCTGGAGTATATTGGGTTGGACCTATAACAGGCAAAAGGGACTATGGCCCTCTTACCCACAGATGAGGAAGGCCTAAACCAGATTTTCTTACGTTCATGCTTGTCTGTCCATTTATCTCTGAAATTCTGGGGAGAGGTGACCTTCGGTAATGGGGGATGGTGAGCTGTGGTGATCGTGATTCACCAGCCCAAATCAGAGGCCTTAGCGCATGGCTTATAGACTGGGGAGCGTCTAGTCTGCCAACATGCTCAGTTGGTTTGCTTGCACAGGGTTCCCATTTCTATTTTTTATTTTTTCAAAGTTTGCTTTGAGAGAAAGAGAGCACAAGCAGGGGAGGGGCAGAGGGAGAGAGAGAGAGAGAGGGGGGCTCTTAAGCATGCTTCACGCTGTCAGTGTGTGGAACCTGATGTAGGGCTTGAATCCACGAACTGCGAGATCGTGATCTGAGCTGAAATCAAGAGTCAGACACTTAATCGACTGAGCCAGCCAGGTGCCCCACTGTGTTTACACTTTTAAAAGTTTGTTGCCAGCATTTGAAAATACAGAGATTTCATATAAAAACCTGAGTTACTAGTTTCCTTTAAAAAATGCAAATCTCTGGGAACATGAATGAGGTAACCCATTCACTCACAGTATGGACTAGAGCGGAATAGTAGTTGTCTCCTTGAGATGGACAATTGGGTCTCTGTTTGGCCTTGCCCAGCTCCTATAGGCATTTGGTTTACAACCCGTGATTTATAATCTACGTTGTTAGATTACTCACAAGCTATCTCGAGAGCCAAGTTCATTCACACTCACACACCAAGCCTGTCATCCATTTCTCTTCCATCCTGTGTGTCTCCTAGGAGTGGAATGGGTTATTTTATTTTATTTTATTTTATTTATTTCATTGCATTTTTATTTTTGCTTTTTGAGAGAGGGGGAGAGAGAATGAGAGTGCGTGCGTGCGTGTGCTGTCCAGTGTGGGAGGGTCAGACGGAGAGGGAGAGAAAGAATCCCAGGCAGCCTCCATGCCCAGTGAGGAGCCTGAGGCGGGGCTTGATCCCATGACCCTGGGATCATGACATGAGCCAAAGATAAAATTTGGACACTCAACTGACAGCCAGCCAGGCACCCCTGGATGGTAATTTTAAAGAAAAATTTGCCTCCATCTAGTTTTGATTATCCATGGTTGGGGGTCTGTGAGGAACACAGATAAGTGAAATGTATTGGGGAAACTCCAAACTTAATTGTAGTCAGAATGTAAAGTTGCACAAAGGAGTGATGTTAGTTTCTCTTCATTTTCATTTATAGCAGATAAGTGGTTAGAAGTTACTGGTTAAACGATAGAGGATCTGGAAAGTCCATAAACTCTTCTGAATAGTAAACCTCAAACAAATGAACTTCATTCATGAGCTCTACCAATTACTTTTGCTTTAGAAACTAAAAATACAGCCGATCATGATGAGTCTCCACCTCGAACTCCAACTGGAAACGCACCTTCTTCTGAGTCTGACATCGACATCTCCAGCCCTAATGTGTCTCACGATGAGAGCATGGCCAAGGACATGTCCCTGAAGGACTCGGGCAGCGATCTCTCTCATCGCCCCAAGCGTCGTCGCTTCCACGAAAGCTACAATTTCAATATGAAATGTCCTACTCCAGGCTGTAACTCTCTAGGTGAGTGCGCCCAGCTTCACGATGCCTGTGTTCTGTGCTTCTCGCCCTCTGGACTTAGGCTCCTGAAGAAATGTTCTGTGTTCCCTTGTGACCTAGCTCCTTAGGTTCTTCAGTGGTGCTCAGAGTATCACTGGGTTGCCCACTTGAATATTTTTGCTTCTTGGCCTGTTGTCCGTCCATAATAACAGATCTGATTGCAAGGAAATTAAGTGGGATGCACCGTTCTGCTTATCAAGAGCTTCCCCCCTGTGAAAAATTTCCTCCTTTTTCCTGCAAAAAACAAAACAGAGGACCAGTTACCTTCAGACAACTCATTGTATGGCGCGTAGTTCAAATTCAATGAGTGTAAGCTAATGCACAACACCAGTTGTGCGGCCACAGCTGTTAAGGAAGTGAGAAAAACAGATTTCTTGTTGCGTGGCTTGAAACTAAAAGGGCACAGAGGAGACCCCGGCCTTTTGTGACTTCAGTGGTTTTAGGTCTTGTGTGCTTAATCAATACAAACCAGACAAGTATTTCTTCTCAGATAAATGAGTATGTCTTTGTTTTCTTATGACCTTGACTCCTGACTGACAGATTCTTATAGTGGTTTAAACTTTATTAATTCTCCTTAGGTGAGCTTCAGTGCACATGTTGGGCGTAAGTTTTTGTCTAGAGTTGGAAGGTGCTGACTTGGAGATCACAAGCATTTCTCCACCGGGTCTACTTCTCAAATTTGTGAACTTTTGAATGTGGCCATCAGGTTCAGAAAAGGTAGAACAGAGTGAGCTGCTGCTTTGTGGGCCCACAGTATGTTTTCCCTGGTATTTAATTTATTTGGATCTTTTCCGGGTCTTGGCACTGGTTTCTCAGATAATTTGAACTCAGAATGCACAGAGTGTAAATTCCCCTGAATGTCATACCAGCCTCAAAGAAGCTAATTGGTTCAGGCCTAAATCTGTTTCCTTGCGCAAATTAATGAAAAAGTAAGACTAGACCTCGTCATATAAACACCAGTGTTTAAGAGCTAGCCAACATGCTCTAAGAGGGTAAGGGGATCGACTTGCCGCGCAGCAAGGAAAGGGACTCCAGCACTGCTGGTCACTGTCCGTGCATCCCTAAGTTGTTCCCTTTATGTCGTGTGTTTAATTAGCTATTCAGTACATAGTTATTGAATGTTTGCTATGTACCGGACACTGTTTTAGGTTCTGGGGATGTAGCTATGAACATGTCAAAGTTCCTACCCTCACGGAGCTTATAGTCTAACTGGGAAGGTCAAAACAGGTAGGTGTACAATAGGTCAACTAGAGATCATTCTCTGAAGGAAGATAAGGTAGTGCTGAGAGGGCAAGTAAGGTGTTGTGCATATGTACGGCCATGCGCACCCACACACACACCAGTGCAAAGGGTATGGGACGGGAGAATGCTTAGGCCGTTTGAGGCACACTTAGGGGCCACTATGCCCAGGGTGGAGCAGCCACAGTGGACAGGAGGAGGTGAGGTCAGAGTCGGGCCTGACCGTGTGTTATCTTTGCTCAGTACTTAACCCCCTTAATGGAGTAGATGAGCGGATAAATCTCTGTTGCATCAGAGAAAGTTCACTTTGAATTTTGGTGTTAATCTGCTGGCAAAGTTTGAAAAGTGTGAACCTGAGCTTCCAAAATTATTTTTGATAAGGCAGCACCCGGCTGGCTCGGTCAGTAGACCATGTGGTTCTTGATCTTAGTTGTGAGTTCAAGCCCCACATTGGGCAGAGATTACTTAATTAAAAAAAAAAAAAAATCCATTGCCAAAATTACTTTTGATCCTGTTCCACTCTTTATGTTTGGGAAAATAATGTCGTTAATTTGTGTGTGTGTGTGTGTGTGTGTGTGTGTGTTTAATTTTGGTATAAAAGTATTATGTGCTTGTACAAACTTACAAGCCCTGAAATGAGTAAGTAAAAGTTCTCCTTCACTCATATCCTCAGATATGAAACTATTCTTGGTAGTTTTTTATGAATGCTTCTAGTAAGTTTGTGTGTTTGTGTGTATGTACGTACACAGGTATATGTACATATATTTCCTTTTTGTTATTCACAAAAGGGAAAATACAGTGGTTGGTTCGGCATCTTGGGTATTTTACTTAGGGTTCCATCTATTTTTTTTTTTTTTAATATATATATATTTTTAACGTTTATTTATTTTTGAGACAGAGAGAGACAGAGCATGAACGGGGGAGGGTCAGAGAGAGGGAGACACAGAATCTGAAATAGGCTCCAGGCTCTGAGCTGTCAGCACAGAGCCCGACGCGGGGCTCGAACTCACGGACCGCGAGATCATGACCCGAGCCGAAGTCGGCCGCCCAACCGACTGAGCCACCCAGGCGCCCCAGGTTCCATCTATTTAAAAGAATACAGAGCATTCCATTATATTGAAAGCTTATAAATTAAAAAAAAAATTTTTTTTAATGTTTATTTATTTTTGAGAGAGAGAGAGAGAGAGAGAGAGAGAGAGAGAGACAGAACATGAGTGGGAAGGGGCAGAGAGAGAGGGAGACACAGAATCGGAAGCAGGCTCCGGGCTCTGAGCTGTCAGCACAGAGCCTGACGTGGGGCTTGAACCCATAAGCCGCAAGATCATGACCTTGAGCCGAAGTCGTACGCTTAACCGACTGAGCCACCCAGGCACCCCTAAAGCTTATAAATTTTTTAAATTGTACAGTATAAGTTGACTTTAGATTTCTCATTTTTAGCTACTTTGAATATTACTATAGTGGATAGTCTTGTACGTATGTAGTTTGATGTCTTGCTAGAAAACCTGTGGAATAAATTTGTAACAATAGAATTGCTAGATCAATAGATTAGCTTTCCTATTTATAAAACTTTTAATATAGACTCATTTGATTGGTTTTAGTTTATTTATTATAAACTAAGACATTTGAATAATTTACTCAGAAGATATAGATGAATAATATCTTAGAAATATCTACAGAAATATTTTTTAGAAATAATCTACAGAAAGAAGACTTTCTAAAACATGGATGCTTTACATTTTGTACACGGTGTTTGATCACTGAGGTTAGTTTTTTGTGTGCAAGATAAATTGAACAGATCTCTAAAATCACATTTTTAATAACACAATCCTGGAGAAATGGCAGTCCGCATAACATGTATTAATTCCTGTCTCTCCCACTACGTGAACTATTGTTCTTTAAAGCTTACTTTATAAATCATATATGATTTTTAAAATCCCATTGTCTCTATTATCCAAAGGCTGTATAAGCTTTTTGGTTAAAGAGACGTATAAAAAGGAAGTAATGTTCAGTTCCCTGTGTGTTTCCCAAAACCACATGAAAAATTAAAAAGTGAAGAGATACCCCTTTAAAGTGAGCTTTTTGTATTGTTAACTGCTCACGTTATCCCCTCATAAGAAGGAGCTTTGTGCTAACTTGTGCCTATGTATTTGTGTTACAGTGGTATATTAGTTTCAGGTGTATGATATAGTGACCCAGCAATTCTATACATTACCCAGTACTCATGAAGCTAAATGTACTCTTGAACCCATTTATCTGTTTCACCCCTTTCCCACGTGCCTTCCGTCTTTGGCGTCACCACTTTGTTCTCTGTATGTAAGAGCCTGGTTTTTTTTTGTTTGTTTGTTTGTTTGTTTGTCTCTTTTTTTCTTTGTTTGTTACTCTGAAACAATTCCACTTATGAGTAAAATCATATGGTATTGGTCTTTCTCTGACTCACTTATTTCACTTAGCATTATGCCATCCATATTGTATAAAATTTTTTTTTGAGTTTATTTGTCTTGAGAGAGAGAAAGCACAAGTGAGGGAGGGGCAGAGAGAGAGGGAGAGAGAGAATCCCAAGCAGGTTCCGTGCTGTTAGCGTGGAGCCCGATGTGGGGCTTGAACCCACGAGCTGCGAGATTATGACCCAAGCTGAAGTCAGACACTCAACCTGCTGCGCCACCCAGGTGCCCCTATACCATCCATATTGTAAATGGCAAGATCTCATTCTTTTTTATGGCTGAGTAATATCCCATTATTAAAAGTACCACCTATTAAAAAGTCTGATTACAGAAGCCTAAATCTTTAAACAAAATCAGCCCCCTTCCAAAAAAATGAATATATTTAATCTGATTCAAAATTATCAACATATGTTTATTTGCAGAATAGAAGAGTCCATTTTCTTTTTCATTTTCCAGAAGTTTCTTTTGATTATTGAAAGAAGTTCAATTCGGATTGGGTAGCATTGCATAATAGAAAGGAAGAAGCACTTGATATACATATAACTTGATAATTTAGCAACGGAAAGTTAAGTTTCACCAAAAGAAAATGTTTCTGTTTGTAATCTTGTTCTTTTTATAAATATATGGCTTTATGATTTTTTAGAATTTGAGAAATACATTATCAGAACAGAAGGAACTGGGGCGCCTGGATGGTTCAGTCAGTTAAGTGTCCAGCTCTTGACTTCGGCTCAGGTCATGATCTCACAGTACCTGGGTTCGAGCCCCGCATCCGGCTCTGTGCTAACAGCACAGAACCTGCTTGAGATTCTTTCTCCCTCTCTGTCTCTGCCCCTCCCCTGCTTGCTCTCTATCTCTCTCTCAAAATAAGTA